ATTCTTTTATATCATCATCATAGTCATCCATAATTCGAGAAATTTCTTCATTAGTCTCAATAATATCCTCTAGGGTAAACATTTATTCAATAGAATGAATCTGAATACGAAAATCTGACATGCATTGTTCAAGATGAATAGGATCAATAATAGTTTGTATCTCAATAGTTATTCTAAGTTTATTATTTATAACGACGACCCAATCAATTTTATCTCTTGGTCTACCAGGGTAACAAGATAACAAACCTGACTAGCTTGATATGTTAGAATAAGTGAATCAAATTTTATGTATCTTATGTCTATTTTGACTTTGGTAATGTCATATGAGTTTAGTATTCACGTTTCTTGATTATAAACATGATCACACCACTCACAGTTTAACAAATCTAAACTTCAATTTTTACATAAATTACACTCAATTTTTATGTATTACATATCTAACACATAAGCTTTAATTTTTTTTTAAATAATGCTTAATCAGATGAATTTTATTTGGAAATTTTAGTTGCCTCTATTTTCGATCATTAAAGTCCAAAATTCTTAAATAATAAAAAAATAAAATCATAATTTCAAGAAGGCCTTGCCACTCTTTAAGAGTTAATATGAACTCTTCAAAGTCAAGAACGAAGAAACTTCCTCTTGGATGTAAGTTTACTCTTTAGTGAAATTGACACATTATTTGGGACAAATTATTAAAAAGTCAAGTCCAAAGCTCCCAAAAATTATTCAAAGCTATATCAAAGACTTCGTTGTGCCTCAAATGTTCTAAAATTGAGTCTTATGTAATCCAAGAATGTCTTAAAAGCTTATTTTGTCCAAAAAAATAGGTTTTGTGACCATAGATGCTCATAGCATGATGCACTTGCAGACAACATGATTTTACCAAATCAGCGACGATCAATTCTGATGCTAATATGCAATAATCCGATGTAAAACAGTATTAGCGCCGGAGTTGGGCTAGATTTATGGTCCACAGAAAAACAGACATCACAAATGCAAATAGCATCGATCGTGTCCGATGCAAACAAGCTGCATCAAGATTAGAATATGATATTGCCTGTGTTAGCCAATTTTGAGGCGACTCGTGGTGACATAAAATTTAACTATGGAATTTGTGTCCATCATTTACGCACGAAACTTGCACCGTTATTTGCTTCCACCATTTTTACTTGAGAGTTTAATTAGTGTTGGAATGTTTCGAAGGTATTACCATCAAGAATTTTTGATGCACCACCGACCGAAACCTATAGAAGATTAAAAAATATTTATATAAAAGAACAATCCGATTTTTACAACCTCACACAACAAATATCACAACTTGAGCGAGCTCAGGCTTGGCTCGTGTTCAGCTCGTTCGAAATAGCTCGTGTTCGAAATCGGCTCGTGTTCGAAATCAACTCGTGAACAATGTGTTCTTGTTTGGCTCAATTAAAATATTCGTGTTCGTGTTCAGTTGGCTTTTTAAACTTAAATTGAGAAAAATAGATGTAAAGTGTGAGATTCGAACCTGGATCAAATATATACAAAAGAATGCACTAACCAAATTGCGACATGAGGTGTTATGATTTAAACTTAGACATAAATATATATAATATATTATTATATAAATAATATATGTAATATATTGTTATATAAATAGTTATATAATTTTTTTATTTCGAGCTAAAACGAGCCGAACACGAGCGAACAAGGACTTGTTCGTGTTCGGCTCGTTTATAATTCGAGCTTTAAAAATTTGTTAGTGTTCGGCTCCTTTACTTAACGAACGAGCCGAACACGAGCTACTTAACGAGCCAAACACGAGCTGTTCGTGAACGAGTTTTTTTGATAGCCCTACTTGAGGGTCAGAATTTGAAATAGAAATATTAGCTACAGAAAGTATCAAAAATATCATTAAACTTATTATACTATAAAAGGTAACTTACGAGTCTCACTCTGTCTCAATATAAATTCAGCTAGAAGTGTCCTGCCTCAAAGTTGCAGGAGCAGAAGAGCCTGGCTCATATGAGGAGGGAGGTGATGGCTGAGTACTTGGAACAGAAGGTGTAGGAGGGGTTGTAGTGGTAGGAGCAAGTAGTGAGAAAGGAGCAACAGACCTACTCAGAGTGGGGATAGGTCTAGGAGGGGATGTAGTAGTTGTGGTGTTGCTAATCAACACAACACTAGTGCTCTCTAATGTAGAGCAAAAAATTAACTTCTTTGTTCTTCTGCAAGTACTAGGATCCTTATAAGGAGGTTGGTAAGGTGGTCGACCTAGCCATGTATAACCGGAAGAAAGACATTAATAAAAATAGTACTAAACAATAAGATTAAAAATAACGAAAGTATGTAGAAGTTGTATAATATAAGTAATAAACATAAAAGCAGAAAGGTCAAATTAAAAATAAAAAATATATTGTAAATGCCTGTAAAAATATCAAAAGTAAAGGCAAGAATACACAAAACATATGATATGAAAAGTAAAAAATTAATACTATAAAAGATAAAATCAGAGAAAAACTAAAATCTAAATATATGTATCACTTTTTATCTATTTTATTAGACCGATTAGTTGATGATAAACTTAAAATTTATTCTTTTATATCATCATCATAGTCATCCATAATTCGAGAAATTTCTTCATTAGTCTCAATAATATCCTCTACGGTAAACATTTATTCAATAGAATGAATCTGAATACGAAAATCTGACATGCATTGTTCAAGATGAATAGGATCAATAATAGTTTGTATCTCAATAGTTATTCTAAGTTTATTATTTATAACGACAACCCGATCAATTTTATCTCTTGGTCTACCAGAGCAACAAGATACAAACCTGACTAGCTTGATATGTTAGAATAAGTGAATCAAATTTTATGTATCTTATGTCTATTTTGACTTTGGTAATGTCATATGAGTTTAGTATTCACGTTTCTTGATTATAAACATGATCACACCACTCACAGTTTAACAAATCTAAACTTCAATTTTTACATAAATTACACTCAATTTTTAGGTATTACATATCTAACACATAAGCTTTAGTTTTTACATAATAATCACACAATTCTTATGCATTACATGTCTACAACCTAAAATTTAATTTTTATATACATTCCACTCAATTCATGCGTCTCATATATACATACCCAAACTTCAATTTTTATACATTTCACCAAATTCTTATGTATTACATATCTTATGCCCAAACTTTAATTTTTTACATACAAATGACACCATTCTTATGAATTACATATCAAACACTTACTCTTCAAATTTTACATAAAACCACTCAATTCTTATGTATTACATATCTAACATTTAGACTTCAATTTTTACATACATTCCACTCAATTCTTGTGTATTACGTAACACTAAACTTCAATTTTTACATACAAACCACCCAATTCATTATATGTGTTACATATCTACACCGAAACTTCAATTTTTACAAACAAACCACTCGATTCATATGTATTACATATCTAACACCCAAACTTTAATTTTTACATAAAAACCACACAATTCTTATGTATTATATATCTAAACACCCAAATTTCAATTTTCACAAACAAACCACACAATTCTTATATATTACATATCTAACACACAAACATCAATACATTCCACACAACTCTTATGTATTACATATCTAACACCTAAACTTCAATTTTTACATACATTCCACTCAATTCTTATGTATTACGTCTAACACCTAAACTTCAATTTTTACATACAAACCAC